CTTGCTGTAAATGAAACGATATGAAATGCTCCCAAATTGAGCTCTTACACTGGTCTGTTGACACCAGATGGCCAGCAACAGGACTGGGGGAGCATCCCAAAGGGCATCATCTAATTTCCTTAACTGGGTGACAGCAAGCTTTTAAAGTAAAGTTAAAACAAAAAAATAAGTAAAATTAAACAAAAAGAAAAATAAAGTTAAAAAAAGTCACAGTAATAGTGATAAAAAGAAAAAATCAAGAATGGAGTCACCAAATTTTTAAGGATTGAGGTTTATTAGTGTTTTCTAGCAAAGGGAGGGAGTGGGTAAAAGGGAACCCCTGTTTAGTATGTACCAAGTATCTATTATTAGTGATAGGAAATTTGGTATAGATGTTGGCGGTCATTACACAACATAATCAATGTAGTTGGTATCCCTGAATTACACATGACAGTATGCTGAATTGGTAAATGTTGTGATAGATGAATATTTATCTCTCTCACACACACACACACACACACAAACGAAGTTCTGGACCTGCTGCTATGCAAAGATCTCAACAGTAATTGTTAAATAAACTGTGCAGAAAAGCACGTAGAACACACAACCATTCAAAAAGAAGTCAAATCCTAGTACAATGTTCTCTCACAGGTACATGGAGGTGACCTACGCGGAGCAGGAGAAGCACTGCTGAGTTTGGCAGAGATGATTATAGGAGGACACCTCTCATGACAGTGACACAGACAGTGACTGGAGGTACTTGGACACGGCAGCTACTTCTCTCACGTGTGTGAAAGGCCAAATGGGAAATTGGGTTCTGCTGTGTAGCCTTATGTCAGAGGAGAGAAAAGCTGGGTACTTAGAAAGACTTTTAAGCTTAATATCCTAAGTTCTCACAAACACTGATGTTTGAGGCGTTCCTTTGTTCAGTAAAAAATATACCACAATATAAGCCACTGCTCTGTCTCTAATCAAACTTTCAAAACTTAACTCATTTGGCCACATGATGGCCCCAACAGTCCCAATATTTTCAGGTCCAGGTTGAAATAAGAATCAATTCTGACCCATGGCAACCCCATGCTTTGCAGAAGAGGACTGTGTCCACTAGGGTTTTGTTCTTGATTTTTAAGTTTTATTTTATACTGGTTTGCTTACAAATTTATATCCCATAGGGGTTTTAATGCCTGATTTTTCAGAAGTAGATTTCCAGGCCTTTCTTCCAAGATATCTCTGGATAGAATTTGAAGTGCAAATCTTTTGATGACCAGCTGAGTACGTGAAATATTTGCACCACCCAGGGATCCCTTCTCAAATTAGAGGAAACCAAACGAATTCTGAGTAGAGAGGAAGGATTGTTTGTGATTCTGCACAGGATCTTAAACAAGTTAGGAATAGACCACAAGGAAATGAGAACTGAGGCGTGAATGGAGGTATGTACACCTATGTTCACTGCAGTGTTATTAACAACAGCAAGACGATGCAAACAGTCCAAATACCCATCAACAAATGAATGAACTGAAACTTCAGTACATTCACACAATGGCATACTATGCAACATCAAGGAATAATGAGTTTGTAAAATATTATATAACATGGGAGAATCCGGAGAACATTAATTATGCTGCATGAAACAACTCAGTCTCATAAAAACCAATATTGCCTAAGACCATTATTATTAAAAATAGAAGAATAATTAGTAATATGTGTAAATGTCCGAGAGAGGAAGGGGAAAGGTAGAAGAGGAGTGAAAAGGGGAAAGTGGAAATCACTAGGAGAGCTGATTTTAGTGTGTGGATTAGCGGGAGGGGGAGAGGGAGGGAATAGGAAAGATTCAGTGAGAGGACCGTTTGAAACATCAAAGATCAATGGTTATTAATTATATGGGATATAGTGTACATGGATAAGTGTATGAAACTATGTAAATGAGGGACTCTATGGAACATAATGTACATGAATGAAACACAATGTAAATATATAATTGTATGAAAGCCATTAAAAGAGTTACTTAATTTTTCTGAGCTTCAATTTCCTTTTTAATATATAAAGGAAGAGAATTAGAGATAATAAACCCTGACTGATTCACCTCAAAAAAATTGCTACTAGAAAAGAAAATAAAGGCAATCATATGAAGATGCTTTGTAAAAGAAAAACACCTGGTGAGTCTGAGGTAGAATAATTGACAGAGTTAAAAATTTCACCATAAAAAGTTTCTGCTGGTGATTTTGAGAGGGAACAACCTGCGCTCTCCACCAGATGTGCCTTACCTAGGCCTCTTAGGACCGTGCTGTAGGAAGGCAGATGGTTCCAGGCAAAGTCAGAGGCACGGTCCAACGTGGCAGAGGGCCCCGTGTGGTGGGACAATCAGCCAGGGCAGCAAAGTAACAAAACAGTCTAAGGATGAGAGACCCATAGGGATAGAAGGTGACAAAGCCATGTATGACAGAGGGGACAGACTGGAATAGAGAGAGATCAGGTATGCTCAGGCCATCATCTGTAACCTATCCACAATAATATGAATCCCCTAATTCACAAGTTAGTTGACACTAAAATGTGTGGGTGTGCATACAGACACTCATACATGGACATATTTAAACTCTTAGAGGCATTATCAGTTATGAGGTTTTAAAAACAAAAATAATTCTGGATGCAATTTACTTAAGAATATTATTTCTAGAGAAGTATTTTTAAGTAGGCATCTGTAAGAATTATGAGCAGCAAAACTCTTCAGTGTATTGGACCGTCCTAACACTGCAGGATCTTTAACAACCTTGCCTTTACCTACTAAATGCTAAAAGCATACATCACACACTAATGGAAGACACTCCACACACCACAAAGTCCCCTACACGGTAACATCTTCCACTGCCAACCCTGAAAATCACTCCATATGGGTGAGCCACCTTGAAAATTTCTCTCCTCTTTATATCATTCATCACATTCACCACTAAATTGTTGTTAATTGTTTTTGCATATACCAACTTAGTAAAATAAACTTCAAATTATAAAATTGTTTCCAAAATATAGTCTTATGTAAAGAAATATACTGAAATACCACAAACAGTGGAGCCCACACCTATGTAGGAAAAGTAGTTGTTTTGTGCTATCAAGCCGCTTGTGACTCACAGCAACCCTCTGCACAATAACTCTGAACCCTGCTCTATCCTAAGCCAATCTCACTGGCTCTGACACACCTACTCTCATTACCCAGTTATTGTGTCAATCCATCTCATCCAGGGTCTTCCTCTCCTATGCTGTCCCTTGACCGTTCCAAAGATTGGCCCCTTCTGACAACATACCCAAAGTATATGAAAATGGACTAAAAATCCTTGCCTCCAACGACCAGCCTAGCTAGTTTTACCCTCTCCAGGGCAGACCTGTTAGTTCTCTTGGCAGCCCATGATATGTTTAAAATTCTTTTCCAGCACCACAACTCAAAGGCATAAATTCTTCTTCTGATACCATTGGTTACTGTCCAGATCTCTGATGCACAGTAAGCAACTGCAAAGATGATGGCCTACATCAAGTGCACCTCAGTCTCTAGACTGACATCCTTGCTCTTCAGAAGTCCTTGACAGCAGATTTCTCTAAAGCAATTTGTCCAAAACTACAGTGCGCAGTAAAACTCAGATTGGAAGTGGCTGGAAGGATGGCATTTATATAATGTACTCATGCAACACATATGCTCCCTAACCAGATCCCTGAAATGAATTAATACTAACCTCTATATATACAATTAGAAACAAGGTTCTTCCAGAACAATCTCCTGGTACTCCTCATTTGCTTTATTTCTATGTAAAATGCCCCCGCCCCAGGAATATTTTCTTTCCCACTGCTAATCTTTTCTCCAAAGGTAAACAATGAGGAAGGTTCTTTTCTTCCACCCCCCCCACCCCAACATATAATTAAGAGAACACAATAGCTAATTTTGTGGTCTATGTTTTTCTTTCTTTAAAAAATTACTGCTTAAAATGATAGATTTCGTGTGAGTAAAAGCCTTCAGGTCTCCAGCTATCTGAATAAGGAAAGGCTATATGCACAACAGAGTTTGGGAGAGCTCATGCTAAATGTTGTTGGTATTTTTTCCCCGTGCTAATGTTTTGACATACTCCATAAAGTCTGTGGAGTTCTTGTTGGCACTCATCAAAACGAACCAGTGGGCATTTCAGCTCTTTAGGTCCTACCAGAAGGCCCAGACCATTGGTATCTTGATATGACCACATATAAGCTGAGTGGGTGAATAAGAAGGAAAAGTAGTGAAATGGTGAAAGAGTGGTACTTTACAAAATTTTTTCCTAACTGCTCATTTGAAATGCTTTGCTCACACAGAGCATCACTGGTGTAAGGGACTTTAGAAACTTAAGTAGAGCTTTAAATTTTGTCCAGATTAAAATTGGTCATCTCTCACACCTCTGAATGCCTATTTCCCAGGATTCCTATTATCCCTCAATCATCTCTCTTGTAAGTACTAAGTGCTTCTTGAAAGTAAAAGAAATGAAATATCTTTCAAATTCCTAGATAATTACCACTTCTCAAATTAAGTGGTAGACTAATTTCTGCAATTAAAGGCACTTCCCTGCATATTACTAAGAAAAATGTTAGAATCCTGTGCTTAATGATTTAAAATTATACAAATGCATACAAAATGCAGTATATTACACAGAGGGAGGTTTTCCTGAAAGATTATGTCAATTTGTCTACTAACTGAAAATTCATGCTATTAGGCTTGAATTAAGCCTATTATCTACCCAACTGCCCAAAAGATCTGGATCTGCTTCCACGATCACAATATTTACTCTCTGGCATTATAATATTTTCTTCTTTCTCAGCTGTCTTCGCTCAGTGGGGAGAGTAGGAGGAGAGAGTCATCCCTCAGTAACTTTCTAGATTACATCCTCAATGTCAAGTCACAGCTCCCAGATTCCTTTATCTCGGGGCTCACACATGCACATTTTAAACCCCCTGGAATGGGTCTGTCTGTCATCCCTGCACCATTTGATCAAGGTGAGTTAACAGGCCCTCACTTGGTGGGAGAGCCTCGTCCACCCTCTGATACCGGCTCACATCCTGGCGCACTGAAGGCAGCGAACGCAATGGCTGATGGCCGTTGGTTTGGGAACCTGGGATTAAAGGTAAGGAGAAAAAGAAAAAAAACGTTACTTTGGCACTGCTTTCCCCATCAGCACCAAAACAGTCTTTATAAAAATACCTACTATAAATTCTGGGGTCAGAGTTCCTTTTCTGTCTTCTGTCTCACTTCAGAGATAAAGACCCAGAAATGAAAGAAGAGACTAAGAGTGAATGCTTAATCGGAAGAAGGTCCTTCAGAATGAGGCCCACCTAGCTTCTGTATGTATGCTTTCTGTACCTTTTCCTTACCAATGCCTCCCCCCATTGTGGCCTCTTTTCTGGTTATACACTGATTTATTAATGCTTTAGGGTCAAGTCATGACAGCAATGAGTTGGAGAGAGCAGGATAAGAGAATGGAAAGGAGAGGAGAGAGGAAGTAGAAAAATTAATTTCAGAATAAGAAAATCCTTCAGCATTTTAAGTCTGTGCTATTTAAGCATATGAAATTATCCTTTGACTTCTCAATGAATCTTTAATGGAGTCATTGAAAGGAGTCATCTATCAAGTCACATCTACGGAGATAAAAATACAAATTTTATGTGCACATTTCCATCCTCAGATACTAACACCTTTTTCAAGTGTCAGAATGAACCATCTAATGAGGTTGACATTTCTTGGGCTGCAGAAATAGTCCCTTTGATGCACCGTGCACACTGACATCCTGTTCTGCGTGAGGAGGGGTGACCTGGGGCGTTCTGGAGAACCTCCGCAGATTACAGGCATGGTGACACTGGCAGCCCGCTTTTGTTCTGCATTTGCCAACACAGGTCTCAGTAGAGATGCATTATTTACGTTGGAAGATCACAGAATGCCGCTGATGTTGGTCACAGAAATGAAAATAAAAGAGAGACTTGAATGTGGACTCTAGCTATCTGGATACAAACTGCGGCCACCACCTATGTGAATGACTGAGTCCCTCAGACTCCTCAGCTCTGAAAAGAGGCCTTACTTATCCTGATGAAGGCTTTCAGGTATCTGTACATTTTCTATCTGGTTCCTCCTCTTACTGGTCCTATTTTCAATCTTACTCCTCCTTTCCTTACTCTTCTTTTCACTAATTGGACACTAAGGAAACAAATTCAGATAACCTGGGACCTGACATTTGTATTGAGGTACAAAACCGCGAGCCTTCTCTCTGAGCAGGCATACTTGAGGCAAAGTCAAGGCCTTTCAGCATCCTACCTCCAGCAGCACCCTCCTCCTGGGCGGTGGCCCCTTCACAGGTGCCCTGGGCATCCCCAGCATCACCATCTTCTTGGGGCTGGCTCTCAGCAGCAGTGGCGGCAGCCGCGGCTCCCTCCAGGCTGCCCCTCCGCTGCCAGACCTCCCCCATCTCCTCCTGTTCAGGTGGAGCAGCTGCTTCTGCACCTGGCCCCTCCTCCTCCCCACTGGGCACCTGCACCACAGGTAAGGACCCAGGGGTGCATATGGAATCCTGTGCCGCAGCTGCAGGGCCACTGCTGGTGGGCTCTGCTGCACAAGCTCCATCTTCCTCCTCCTGAGAGGAAAATGCTGGGGTTTCCGGAAAGCGAGCGCTCTCGAGAGAGGAGCACCGCGTCTCCACCGAGGACAGCTGCGTGGTCACACTCTCATTGCAAGAGCTGTCGGCTCCCTCCAGGTCACTCTCGCCCTCGGGCCTGGTGCTGGCCTCGCTCACGCTCTCTGTCCTGGCCGGGTCACTGGGTTCCGTTTCAGAGGAGATTTGGGAAGGCTCAGACCCCTGGTCAAGGGACTCGGTCTCACTGGTGGCTCTCCGGCTCCCTCCTGACGTATCAGAGGTCCCCGTGTCTGCTCCACTGGTGGGCTGATCTGCCTCCTGTGAGCCACACAGCTCAGTGCTGCCCTGGTCAGCACCTGGCTGGGGCTCCGGACCGGTTTCACTTTCCTCTGGGGCTGGTTCGGAGGGTAAAGAGCTATCCGCAAGCTCTGGAAGATTTTCTGGCTTATCCTCAAAGGAGGTGGCTTCAATTGTGGAGGCTTCTTCATTCTCAACCGAGTTGTCCTCTGGCTTTGTCTGAGATGCCAGGCTCACGTCATCAGCCCTTGATGCCCTGCTAAACATTATCAACCCGCCTTCCTCCTCTAAGGAAGAAGGGTAGCCGAGGTCTTGCTGAAACTCATGATCTTCTTCATCTGAGTCGATATGAAGCATTGCATTGAGCCTCGTGTCAGTGGGAAAACTACTCCTTAGTTTCGGAGAGGCCCCCATGGCCCTCTCTGCGGAGGTAGCTGCCCCGGGCCTGGAGGGGCCATTGTGTTCAAGAGCATCTAAGTAATCGTTGAGGGAGTCCTGGCGTCCCCTGGGAGGTGAGGTCCTTGAAGAAGTAGAGGTTAATTCCTCAGTGTCTATTTCCAGAGTGGAGCTAGTCCTGAAAGAATGTTTGGGGGTCCCCTCAGCTGTGCTGTCCTCAGACACTGGTCCATTGGAGCACACTGGGTTGTCATGGTGGGTCCCAGGCAGGTCCTCATCATCAGAAGGGCTTCCTAGGTCCCCATTCACAGTATTGACTCCAAGAATCGTGCCCACAGCTTCTGGGGTGGCATCTGAACAAGAAACCAACATTAAAAGAAAAGAAACAGCAAGGAAAAGCAAATTCCTATTCCTTTGCTATCACTCTGTTCAAAAAGAATTCAGCTGCTTTACCAAGATCACCTTCCTTCCTTCATTCCTTCCTTCCTTCCTTGCTCGGATTCAACAAACAGTACAACTTAACTTGTATCTCTCTTGTCAATCAGACGGCCATGCCATATACTGCTGGAAAGTCTACAGCCTAGTTTCAAAGTGCAGGGATAACATACTCCCAAAATATAGACATTAACTTA